TCCAATGGTTAGTAATATCAACCGGAAGCTATTTCTCAAGTACGCGTTACACATGGATTAAACGATTAGGAAATAATTAAATCACACTCGGCCGTTTTCTGTGGATGCATAAAAAGGAACTATCACGATCAGGGGTAGGTTGGAGCTGGAGACTTTTTATACGATGGTTCAAACAAAGGATTTGGTGCCTGATTGAGACGAGGATTTGGAAAGGTTTAAACGTCTGCTGGTGACAAGCCGCTATGAATCACCGAAAGGTTCATTCAACTGCGGACCGCTTACGCGTCAGCATATAAGGGCTTTGAGGGAACCCAGAAAAAAAAACCATCATGCTACTCAAACCAGGCACCGGGATGGCTTTTATGAACATAGACGATTATGCACAGCTCTGAAAAAATTTCAGATGTTAAAAAGCTATCTAAATGCGACAAAGGAAAAGATGAAATTCAAAAGGTAGACGGAGAAATCACAAACCTACTGGAGGCACTAAATATACAGGGCACACAGACAACGCTACATTCGAGAGACTGAAACTATGTGGTTCCCGCGATTTCATGGTCTACCTAAGATCCTCAAAGAGTGTTAGAATTCTACCTATTATGGTGAATTCACATTATCACACAACGGCACAGCGGTTGGTCAAATTACTGGTACCCGTTCGCCGTAGACTCGCTACACATTCTAGAAGACACTTTCCAGTTTGTAGCTAAAATAGAAGACCTGGATCTGCAAGAAAAGATGACATTTTCATTGAATTTCGTCTCACTATTCATCATTTTACCCCTCATGGAGACAGTGAAATTTATCTGTGATCCATTATAGACGTTAAATGTAAATGTTGGTATTCCGGTCGCAAACCTAAAAGAACTATAATGATACCGTCTATTTGCACTTGGTCCGTTGCTAGCTGACGTTTTCGTGGCCATAACTATAAACTATAAAGGAGTATGCGGAGCTTAACTATTGAAGGATTGGCAGACGTATATATGGACGGTATCTTCTGAGTGGCCGATCGAAAAGATGGCTTCCCACAGAAACTGGAAGCGTTTAACGAAGAACATTCATCATTGGAATTCATTGTGTAGTTTGAAACTAACAACATATTGGACCTTATGGATATATCCGTGTCTAGGAAAGAATATGAATCGGTGAGAAAAATCCACAGAAAGAAAACGTGGAGTGGTCAATATACCAACTTCTATAGTTTCACTCCTGTGAAATACAAACGTAATCTGGTCCAGTGTCTAACCTTTAGAGCCCGGAAGATTAGTTCTGCAGACAGACTGGATAAAGAGCTACGCTTAATCCGCCAAACGTTGCAGGATAATGGTTATCCGGAAAAGATCAATGTTAGGAATATTCGGCTCACTCCAGAGGGGTAAAACTCCATGTAGTCCTCAAGAAAGAACTACTGATAAGGATTTCAGTTATAAGGCACTCACACATAGGAAGCCTAGTACAGTCATTGAGAGTGGCTGTAAATTCTACTTTCTCCGCAGCCCAAATTAGATCAATGTTCCCTACAGTAATGCGAATGCAAATGAAAGACAAACTGCAGAAAGTGACCTCATCCATGATAATTTACTCATCTAAGTGAAGAAACTGTGTATTGGAGACTCAACTGTATGAGCCCCATGTTCTACTATTCTTAATGTTGCGTTGGCATCAAGCTTGCTCAGTGGTGGTGCGGTGGTTCAGTCGCTGTCACTGACGTGCTTTGAACTCTACGGTCCGAGGTTGGAGTCCCGGTACCGCCACCCGACTTTGATGGTAGGCACCTCTGCTGTCGTCCGGTTCAATACCACACCTAACCTATCGAGGCCTTGTGTGGTTCGCCACTCAAGTCCCGGGGCTTAGGTTGCCGGTTTCCACTACTGAACAGCAGGTCTTGGTAACAATGGGGTTCGCTCCGTCTACTGTGGNTGTGGTTAGGTCACCAACTTGTGACCGGGGAGTCCCAGGTTCGAATCGCTCCACCGCCGCCGGTCGTCTTCTCAGGTAGCTTTTGTATGGCTGTGGCCCCCCTTCCTGAGTGTTGACAATACATTTGTATATTCAATAAATAAAAGAGGAAGTAAAAAGACAAGACATTACATATATATATATATATATATATATATGCCCGGAAATGCACGGTCGGTGGTCAACACCTTGAGCGGCTGGGTTCAACCAATTTATAGTGTGGTTTTTAATTTATTCTATTCGATTTTTTCTCACACTGCGATTGATCATCAGTTCGCGAATGGGTCACAATGAAGATGTGAATTTCCAAAGGGTTTAGTAAAACTATCATTGACAGCATTGGCAGAACCCACTTCAAGAGGCCGACCGTGGAGAAAAGTTTAGAAAGGTGGGGTCGTAAGCACACGCTGTTCCATTCCGCTAAGTTCAGCGATCTTGATAGTTCTAATCTTTTCTTTTGTGATGATCTTAGTAATCCTTAACCATGTTCCGATCAGGCAACCTACAGAGCTTCCCCGGGGTAATTACCTTCGCTTGTGGTTTTTCAACCCTATGCATTATCACTACGGCACATCCCAACAATCAGATAGTGCTTTTATTTCATCAGAATGGGGGGAGGGAGAACCAAGACAAGTTGACAAAGGATAGCAAGGACCATGCAGTAGAACAAGTCTCCATTCCAAACTGAGTCAACGCATTTGTGACCACTTATACGCCCACGTGCTAATGCCAGGAGTAGGAAAAGAAAACTGAGCAAGGGGAACATCGATGCAACAGATTGTTATCTCGGTGACTGGACTGTTACCGTCCTGAACGAATGACAACGACCTCTATTATGGCAGCTGTTGTCAATGCTCACATAATATAACTAGGCGCTTCGTACTAGTCACGGTTGCATCGATGGGAACCGGCCCACTCCTCCGATTAGACAAAATACCTCCCCTGACTATTTCAGAACCGCTGCCAACTTGCACTGTCAGGACAATCATTCCATCCGTGCTACACTGTCCCTTAGACCTCCAGGCTCTCATCACCCTAACATTCACTGTTAACATCTTGTTTCATCAAATCACATGATAAAATGTGTGAAATGTGATTAAGAACACGGCGTTTTTGTGCTACCGCTCGGTAAACAAACCACCCAGATTGATCCACTTCGATATGGTGACAACTATATAAGAGAAACAAANAGGACAATGATCAACTAACTGTAAATTGCTATAAACTACATTTTGAGTGCTGTCTTTTAAGTGCACTTCGTGCACCATGTGAATTACACTAGTCAGTCAAGACTCAGATAGGCTGGATGATATCAAGTTTCTCAATATTGATATGTGCAAGACGATCACAAAGGCCACGGATTGTAGTGGAGTTCACGAAACGGTCATATGCCGAAATCGACAACTGGAATACGCATCAAGGCTGNCTGGAGCTGGGAAAAATCAAAATAGTCATCGAAAATGATCAGGGCACCAGTGTTCGCGAGACAGCTGGCAAATTTCATTGTTCGCCGAGGGTTGTTCGCTGCCCCATATCAAGTCCAGTAATCGTTTTATGCACCTCGACGGATGATTATTCAGTATTCGATATAACTCTAAGAATGCTTACGAAATGTGACCAACGATCGTTGATCAAGCCACGACAAAACCCTCGCGTGCTGATTCAAATCTGGTCAAAAGTGCGTTAAAATTACAACGATCATTACATTTGGGTCTGAGTGTACAGTGAGTAACCTCTACAAATGGTGTCAAATCTACAATTCGGGGACAGGTATTCAGTGGAATTGACGACCGAGTTGCGTAGGTTAGAAGTCACATCAATTGGATTTCAGAATGGAACGGTACGACATTCAAAAACGAGAAAGGGTTTAAATTCTGCGGTGTTGATACGCTAATGAACTACTGGCACGATCTGCGTAAGAGAGAGAGAGAGTTAACCTTCAGTATTCGGGCGAAAAGCGGGGTTCTGTCAACTTCTGTGGTATCATTAACCTGGACGGACAGTCCCAGTTGGTCATTTTGGAAGGTAGTTGACAACTAACCCCCAGAATAAAACCTTGAAGGAGTTTCTCCTACCCATGATTCCGGAAAGTCGGTTCGGAACCATGGTTTTCCAAAACGATACCACCGGTAACATACAACCCATCTCACTCAGATGTTGGTGTTGCACTACAACATTAAGACCACTAACTGAACAATGCAGAGACCAGATTTGAGACCTATTGAAAATGTCTGGGGTTGAGTATGAAAAAGTATTTCAAACCGCTTGCTACTCAAAGACAGTCATCTATCATGAACGGGTTAATTTCGAAGCTCTAACAATCAGGAACCTGATTGCAAGTATCCACCAATGTTGTGATGGTTGTGTTGTTTTGAATATCAACTTTTATCGTGCAGTTTAACTACTTAGGTGTCCTCATTATTGTACTGAGGTCTTTTCCGTTCCCTGGACATATTTTCTACGTGAATCAGTTTGTTTTTCCTGTGCGGACAGTCATCACGAACAAATACGATCAATTTGGGTGGTTTGGTTCCAGTAAATCGGAGTAGCATTGATAGCGTGTCACACACCGAGTCAAACCACTGTGCTACGCACGAGAAAATTTACCGTCCTAGAGCAAACCTGAGTTTTTACATGCGTCCTGTTTAATGAAAAAACAACACGTGAATTTAATGTACGTCAGGAGCTTCAATGTTCCACCAGAAAATTATGAACAGGACACAGCAAATTATAGGAACCGGAGATTATGTATAAGAATGCGTAATATATATATATACATGCACCCACTAAAAGAGACATTTCACCTGGTTTCAATTATTTTCTCCCTAAGGAGACCACATCCACGAATATAGCACAGCAAAATCCATGTCTGAATCATTAGAGGTGCCTAACCCAAATGTCAGTTCAGTCACTTAAACCGCCGTAGATCGTGTACACAACTATGTTTAGCTTCTTGATAGGTTGGTTTATTTGTATATCAATGCCTATGGCAGTTTTGTATTCAGTAGCCTGATTGTTAAAGCGTCCGAACCATTTGTTTATCCCGGCCGATCGATCTTTGTACGGCAAAAAAGGAAAAATTCCAAAGCGATATCGAAAAGTGGGTCTTCCCGTAAACTCCACGAGGAAGCTGGAAACTGGCGAATGAATATGGTAATCTTAGCGATGTCCGTAGATCAGTGGTCCAAAACAGCGCTATCACAATCTTTTGAAAAAACAGGGCGAGGGCCTCCGAAGCGAAATCAATCAGCTCAACATTCTCTCCCTCCGGTCCGGGCGATACACTGAACACAGCTAGACCAGGAACACCGCAATGGCATGTGCTATCATCAGTGGAATACAGTAACCTCCCTTTACAATCGATGCTATAAACCACCAATTTCACTGCCACTTCCGACTTCCGTATCATCACTGTATCTATTTATTTGAATTTTATTAGTATGCACGAAAAAGAGGTAACCCTGTTCGTGTCATAATATCTAACGATCTAACTCTGGCAGCTGTGTGCGTGCTCAGTGAACTGAAAAAAGTGACCCATCGTTTAGAGACCAGTTGCCCAATAACAATGCACAGCCACTCACCTGCGCACTGTTCGACTGGAAGTGTCATCACCAACCTGGAGACAAATAGGATGGGGTCAGCATGAACTGCACGCGCCGTAGCACCAAGTCACTAAGTCCCGAATTTAACAGCACGCAACACATTCTATAAATTTTGACAATTATCGCTCACTACATAGAGTTGATCCTGAAGAAAAGCATCTCAAAGGAACAAGCCTGCAGTAAATGACGAGGGCAAGCTGCTACGCACATATAAAACTGACCGAGAATCAGGGCTGGCTCCTTTGTGGTTCTATGGTCCTGTTGATCTTGAAAAAACTGAGTCCTCTGAATTGTTTTATTTGGTCAACAGAACGTCAACACAAATTGGTCGAACATGCTTCAGAAGCTGCACAGACGACTGAATGGAGTTGAGCTGTGGTCGTACTTTGCAATTTGACTCACATTGTAAATGAACCTTTTATAAGCGATGGAAACATTTGTGATGACCGACAAAGAGCACTGGACAGCTACTTCGTCCTGTTTGGGACTCATAAAGGTTTGAAGTCCCGGCCCGAATGTTCATGGTTCAAATCCTGGCAGTATGAATAGCTGATGAGTCTCAAACGACAGTTTGTAGATTCTATACAACCACGGTGTAAAAGCCCTCAATCGATCGTGCACAGGTAGTTCAGATAGTCAAAAACGATGCACGGACTAAGAGAAAGACTTCCACTCATCGTACTGGATTTGAGTACTTTTAATATTGTATCACTGGACATTGTTCTGAGACATGGCTGACTGATTGAACTTAGGTGGAAGTAATAAAGAGCATTTAGACGAAAATAATCAAAACAGAGTTAATCGCATTTCGTACCACGCGCGACACATTCTCTAAGATCAACGAAAGTGGCTTGGTGCCAATAAAAGTTTGTCTGACTACCCTATATGGTAATGAGTTTTACAGTTTTCACACTGAATTTCATCAATCTCAATCACCTGTTTGTTGAGAAATTTCAAATACGAACGCGTGTTTCAAACACGCACAACATCCGTGTATCGATCACGTTCCTCACTGTGATGCGGTGCAATGACCCGGTGTGACAGATCACCTGGACGACATATGATCGCACAGGCCAAAAAGTAAATAGAATGAATAACTTTCTAGGTGCTTGCACCTGTATCGTGTTTATTCCTGTCAGCGATCGGGAGTCAAGCTTCGACAGTTAATGTCGGGTTCGCTGTTCCAAGTGAATGACAGTTAGAAGTCAATGAATTTGGGAATCACTCGGTAAAGGTGAGGTACGTTACACCGATATGATCCTACGCACACACATATTTGACAACATCAGATGAACAAATCACTATAAGGACAATTTCACGGTTTCCCGAGCGCAGAGACACATGTCAACAGTACAGTTCAAGGTGTCAAATTTTAAGGACCATGGCTGATGGATAGTACAGAGGATGAAAGTTAGAGTGTGCGGAATGTAAATCGTATCTAAGGTGCCCGGAGTGAATGGAGCAAGATCAGGCCATGAATGTCAATAGATAAAAGATGCGTCGTAGACGCGAAAACACACAAACTCACTCGGATCCAAACCAATGCTTGTTCCTCGGTATCCGCGGCCAGCACAGCCATACCTCGCGTTGAATGGGCAATTTTAATGACATGATCCATTCCACTATCACGCCCGGCATAAATCCCAGATGAACCGCACAGGAACAGGACCAAGTTCGGAGTTAATGCATGACCGGTTCGGTATCCGATGAGGCGCGAGCCGCCGATGAGCAAGCACAAGTTCAATCGTGTCCACTTATTGGGTTTATAACGATGGTGCAGTGCACCAGCCAGTGTCCAAGGCGGATCCATGAATGCACTGAAACGTCGAGCTTGTGTGGTCAGACAGCGTTTTGGTAGCCTGAAAACAAAGAAAGGACAGAAAATTAACTACGTCACTCTTTCTCTCCTCAACATTATCGGCACTTGCCCTACCTGTTTCCGCTACTTCTGAACACGTATTTACTTTTAAGCACAGTTCTTGTAACAGCCTGAGGCAGGGATGATCGCATAAATGATGCCGAGGTTAAGTGAACAGCAGCTGAGCACAAACGCAAGTACCTGAATTTGAAAGGTTAAGCTATGTAGATTGTATGCCATGGAATAAGCCTTCTCAAGGCAGAAAGTTGCTTGAATAAGGCGAAGGGTTGTCTGGAGTGAAAGTATAAACACCTGGACTCGGTTATGTATGACGTTAAAGTTCTCAGTTGCGTACCAGCTTGATTAATTGTAAGAGATAATGAATGACAATTGTACTAGATGCCAGGCGTGGTATTAAATCGGATCTGGGTGAATGTAGCAAATAATTAACCTGTTCAGCCTATGTGCACGTACAACTAAGCCGAATATATTTTTCTCTGGTTGTATTATCCGACTTTCACGAAATCTTACTCTTCTCCTTTGTTGACTGACCAAACAGGTAGTTAGAACGAAGTAGAAATCGAGGCACAAACAAAAACAGCGCCATTGGTTAGACAAACAAAATAGTGTGGTCAACAGCAGAAGGGGTATTCACCATAGTCACAAAAAGCTACTACTGAAGCATAGGAACCGACAACTGAAGCCCTGGAACTCAGACTAGTGAACTCCATAAGGTTCCCAACTAGTATACACGTGGTATCAAGCCGGACGACCGTGAAGCTGCAGACCACCAAATATGAGTGGCGGTTGAAAGGTTTGAACTACTCTAGGGGCCTAAACACCTCGGTGGAAGCGACTTTGAAGGCTTGACCACCATTAGGTGAATTTTCATTCAATGCACAAGGGGAAATAAAGATCAAAAGATGGCACATTTGTGCACGGTGAAACCATTACGAAATGATTATTCTGTATTCCGTTCCCAATAATCTGGTTCCGTCCATTTTAATCTCCCCCTTCTGTACCCGATTCCATCACTTCTATTATCATTCTTGTTGCGTTGGCACCATGCTTGTCCTGAGACAGCAAAATTAAGTGTATGTATATCGCAAATCATAACATCATACAAGGATTAAGCCTCATAAATTCGAGAATTACTTGTTTGGCCATGGAACCCAATGATCTGAATCCTGAGGTTAGGAACGGCTAATCATTCGGAGTATTCAATCGGACGACCCGAAGCTAGGGGTACAAACACTCTAAGCAGGCGATATTCTAAACTTGTATTGGAGAAGCCAGACACCGTATATGCCCACATAAACTGTGACAATGAGATAAACCAGTATGAATGGTGCATCGTTGGAGTCAACCACAGTGAAAGGGGGTTAGCGTAGTGAGGCAACATACATGTGACAAGTTCGAGTTTCTAGTTCTATTTAGGAATCTGGTAAGCAAGCACCATAGATGAAATACAATGCGGATAGAACTGGAATCTGACGCTTCCAGGATGAACGATAACCTAGATGAAAGACGATCCGTCAAATACAAGATATCAACTGAACGTTTTGTGAAGGCATCTGGAAAGGAAACGAGTGAAACTAACAATTTATCTAGCGATCTTGATCATAATCCATGTCAATAGGATCGTCGGGCGAGCAGCACAGCCTGACGACGAGCTTATCAATAGCACAGACCCTTTTTGAACAGCGACATTAAAAACAAACAGACAACCAAAGACAGAGCGAAACTCAACGGTCAGAGAGAGTAACGAAAAATCACACAATTGGTAACAAGCGTCAGAATGTGCTTATTTTTTAATGCACATCACAGTTGATTGGTTGGCCTGGTCAGCTTGGAAAAGCCAGTGTTCGGGTGCATTAAACGATACAAACACTTGATCATAACAGAGGAATCAAACTGTAGAAAAAGAGAGTAATATCACTGGAGCTAATTATATATCTCCCTCGAGCATACATACACAAAAACAAATGCTCCTCACGCCCATTCAACAGACAAACAAAACGAGAGAGTAAGGCTCGTCCGTCATGCGAACTTCGAACAGCCCACGGGAACGATACGGCGATGTGCATCAGGTGGCGGGATTGACAACAACTACGTGAAATTGGGAGTGAATGTTAGCACGTGTTACAACCTATGAAGAAACAAGCAGCATGGCGATACATAAAACGAACAGTCTTCTAGTTGATGGTATTCTGAAACCGCAGGGGAAAAAATAGACAGAATCCATTCAAAACAGTAGCGTTGTAGTAATGTGCATTATTCTGCAAAAAGTGATTAGTCATGCAATGCTCCGCGGACCCCACATGGATGTCGTGTACTTTCTGTAGCAGAGCAGAGTCCAGAAAACGGAACGTGATTATCGGCACACTAAGGGGTTGTAATGGTGCTGTGTGATTTGTTGAGTGGTCGAGACAACGGGTGGGCGAGCAGTACCTGTGGCGGCTAGAGCAGCTCAGTTGACTTCAGCGACTGAATGAATGAGTGAGATCCCGTTACCAGAACCCCCATCCCCCATCCCGTGATTGAGGCACGACTCGCATCATAAGGTTTCGAACAGTCACAGAGACCAGAGCGGCTGACCCTAACAAAGGCCGAGGGACAAATGCAAACGGTGTATCACATTCACGTCACATCACGTAGCACGGACAAGAAGCGGCTATAACCGGCCGAACGGACTAAAAGGTGTATGCGACAAGGCAAACATCGCACACACACATACGAAGTGACTAATAGGACTCTGATGACTCATCGGTCCGAAGAGTTGTCGTCTGGACTACAGATCCAAACGGAGACCAGTGCAAATAGGCGTTGTTCCGTCGGTCAACGCCTAACCATGTCCCATCAGCTGTTCGTATAGTGACCATCTCTCGTTCTCTGACAATCAGTAGGACCAGTGAAAACGGCATCGACGCCCAGTTCCGGCGCGGCGCGCTGACTGAATTTTGTTACCCCGGTAAAGGCAGTTCACATCAAACGTAAGACACAGGAGGCAGATGGAGTGAATTTATGTCGATCCCGTAGCAAAGCGCCGATAGAAACAGAATGGGTAGAAGAATGTGAAGTTCAGAAAGGTTTTCTGTGGGGATAGTATGAAGTGTGTCATAAAACTTAACAGTGAGCGCTTCACGGTACGATGACCAGAACATACGCAACCATGGGACACAACCGCAAAGGGCTGAGGCTGGCTTGAGTTTGTAAACCGATTAAGAAAACTAGAAAACTATGTCACACCCCTGAAAAGTTACATTTTCCAATATCTTCCTACTTTTTCGAAAACCCAAAAGAACCGCATGCGTAAAAACGTAGGTTCTGACTTCGCAGTGTCGTCCACTCAATATGTTATAGTTCCTACTGACTTACTCACTTTGCCATTGACCGGCGTTCGGGACGGCCACTGACCAACCAACCTAATGTCGCATTCAGCCAATGACGTTTTACCTAGTGTGATACGAACACGACACTGTTCACTGATTGAATAACCCTTGTGAGGAAAGCACACCAATACCAGCAATCGAAGAATGCGATTTGACGTCCCAATGTGCAAGCGCTTATCCATCACAGAAACGGAGAGTGCGTTGAAACTGCTCAGTCAGCCAGGTGCAACTCAGAGTTCCGCAGCCAAGTCATCTGGTATTACAAGAAAAACTATTTACACTGTTATGTCCCATCGGACGACTATCGGAGAATTTGTGAACGCTGAAGCACCTCAGGAAAGATGCCACCTGAAAACCAGTGAATGAGACAACCTTGGATTGGGTTACTGCTAAGCACGATGAGTTCCCCATCGTGAAGAGCATCGTTTGTAAGAATATAATTCAGCTAGCACAAAGAATGCATCATCGTGACTTCAAGGCCTCCGAAGTTTGTTTTCGCTCTTGATCAGACAGATGTGGTATTCAATCCTACGAAGAGACAAGCAGCTACTCATGTGCATTACTTTATTTGTTTCCGAGGAACGTTTGGTGATATCACGTGATGCAGCGGACGAGTTTCGAGCAGAGTTACCACAGATGATCAATGGATGCAATAACTGTGATATTTTCAATGCAGATAAAACAGCTCTGTATTACAAGCAGCTCCCAGAAAGAACCTCAAATCTCAAAGAAAAGCAGTTTCGGGATCCAAAAATCCAAGGAAAGGGTCACGTTACTGCACTGTGGGAAAACTTCAAATTCGGGCAAGCCTCTGAGGTACAGAGATAAAGAACGTTTCCCAGAATTATTCTTCTTCAAAGAACGCATGAACTAATTGAGCGCTATTTCACTGTTGGCTACCCGTTGTCAATCGCAAGATGATTTCTCAAACATACTCTATTTTACTGTTTATAGGTAACGTCCCTTATCTTAACAGAGCCACAGTATTTACCAATTTCAAATAAGTGCGACTGTCTCCGAAATGCTCTTCAATGTTACAACCAATGGATCAGAGTGTGATTTGGTCCTCCAAATATTCGTTTTGAAAACATTATCGGAATATGTTTAGTCACTGATCGAAAATGAAAAACTAGGCATGAAGGCCGAAGGGGATATCTTCATGGGCGTGCATCTGGTCAAGAAAGCTTGAAAGTCTGTGCATCTGCACGTGCGGATCAACGTTTTCATGGAAGCTGGATTCACAGCCGATCGTGCAGCCACCAGTGGTTTTTCCTCTGGTGGCTGTACAAATGTGACCTGACTGCTAACTTGACTCTCTATGTTTCTATTAATGAACGTCATTTCCAAGAAGGAGAAACCGCCTGATTGAAATTTGATGATGAAATGGTTTATTTAAATCTTTGCATCAAGTATTTTTTTAGTCATTATATGAATTTGTTTAGAATCAATCTAAGCGTCCCAAAGAAGATAAAGGTGAAGCAGTGAATGCGCCGGAAGTTATCTCATTTAGAGAAGCGAAGAAGTTACTATATCAACCGAAGATGTTTGCCTGGGTTAGTGCTCGGATTTCTGGTAGATTACCGAGGTGTACAATCGATATAAACGATAA